TACACAGTATATGTGTGCCCGTGGTATATATAAGTACATATACACAGTATATGTGTGCCCGTGGTATATATAAGTACATATACACAGTATATGTGGGCCCGTGGTATATATATGTACTTGTGCAAATGGGCAAAAAAACATTTCATTTATATTAAAATTTCCTGCTAGTGTTCAGTTGTTAGCAAGTTAATAGGAAAAACACATAGTGAGGCGCATGCGTGCTGTGCTATAACAAGTGCATGACAAATTTGCTAGATATGTGCCTGCAAGATACTGCTGGGAGGTCAGGGTAACCTGTCAAAGGTAAACTAATAGGAAAAAGGTGTTTGGTATCCCTACAAAAACAAAAACAAACTAAACACGGTAAAAATAATTTGTTTGTGCTCGAACATCGGTTATTCGATAAAACGGTAGGTGAATGACCGAAAACGAAATGTTCAACAGAACGGTTCGCGCAGAGCTAAATATGCTAGCATGGGAGGGTCTCACATTGCCCGACCTACGGCCATATGGGCACCAGGTTTCACACATGCATCATGTATCATGTGTGTCACACCCAGCTTCTGTCACGCCCAGCTCCGTCCGATCCTCGTGTGTGACAATGTGTAACTGTTTACGGCGCTGTCTGATTTTTACCGCACATGCTGCAACAGTTCACGGTGCATTCTGGTGCCCGCATGCACGTTATTGTTTGACAAGTGCACATCTGGCCGCTCGTGGTGGACGATATGGATACTCTGGCCCAATCACAAAGAAACTCCTGAAACCTCACAGGCTTAATTGACATCACCCCGTGATTGAGTGTGAGGCTCAAAATTGCGACATATCACGTTACCTCGGCAACACCAAAACATGTACCTTACATGGTTTTGGGACTTTCTATTTTAAGATTTGCACTTTCATCGCGCCCAAGGCACTTAAGGGACCGACCGCCTCATGTGAACGTGTTCCAGGCTCTTGCATCACAGAGTGGATGAGAGATAATTGCTAAATAATCCATTTACAGTACTCGTTTTTGTCAAAAACATCATTAAGCAAATACTAACAAAAAAAAAAACAGTTTGCCATTTATGCTTCTGGGTATCCCTTAGTTAGCTCGTGTTTCACATCATAACACTATGAAATTATCCAAAAATCCAGACTTCTGGAACGTGTGGATAAAGGGCTCATGACATCTGTGAGAGTCCTCATGTACGTGACGATTTGACAGTGGGACAAACCTACGACCTCAAGGACTTAACAGGAACACGCCTCAGTATGTTTACATACTGCTTAAAACTCATGACGTACAGGTTACCTAACAACCTATAATTTACATATATATTCTTCATAACAATCATAAATACTCACTTACAGACTATAACATGTATGCCTATAGATGCACAATCAAAATAAATATAATGAAACTACAACAGAAATACAACTAAAATAAATTAAGTATATGTATACAGCTCATGGCCGGCTGCCTGGGGAGTGGCTGTCACTCAGAAGACTGTCTCTTATCGCGGTTTGTGTCTCCTCACCTGGTATTACTGCTGCAGCTCTCCTTTGCTCAGGCTTAGTATGCTGCTTTGGCTGGCTATTTCACAAGTGATTAAAAATGTTAGTGGTATTACCAGCATACGGTGGTATTACCAGCATACGGTAGGCCTACTTTTTTGTCATAAACATTGCAGGTCACCATGTTTGAATCTATTTGATAGTGTAGTTTTCTCTCTTACTCACCATACTGGTACTGCACACACTGACAAACACAGTGAGGTTTTAAGTGCCGGGACTACTTCCGTCTGCGTGGTCCTACCTGATGTAGGTGGAAGAATACTATATGTAGGTGAGAGCATGTAGGCTATATTCCCAGAAAGATTTCCTTTTCATAGCGCAACTGGCAAAGGCAAAAGCACACAAAAAACAAAAAGTATCGACAGAACTGGAGCTGGTATCGCTGCTGTAAATAATCTGCAGTAGTAATAAAGTATTTATTTGTATCGATCCGCCCACCATTAGCAGCCACAAATCAGGCAGTGACTGGATTGCAATATACACACTATATGGACAAAAATGTTGGGGCACACCTTTTAATTGTTGAATTCAAGTGTTTCATTCATTGCCACAGGTGTATAAAATCAAGTACCTAGCCATGCAGTCAGGTTTACAAACATTTGTGAGAGAATGGGTCATTCTGAAGAGCTCAGTGCCTTTAAGTGTGGTGCTGTCATAGGATGCCACCTTTGCGGTAAATCAGTTCCTCCCTGCTAGATAGATAGGTCAACTGTAAGTGGTGTTACTGCAAAGTGAAAGCATTTAGGAACAACAGAAACACAGCCGCAAAGTGGCAGACCGTGTAAAATAATAGGGTGGCATTGCGGGGTGTATAGTGTGTAAAAGTCACCAACTCTCTGTTGACTCAACTGCAAACTTCTTATGGCATTAACCCCAGCACTAAACTGTGCACTGGGAGCTTCATGGAATGGGCTTCCATGGTCAAGCAGCTGCATGCATGCAAGCCTCACAACACCCGGAGCAATGATGGAGTGGTGTAAAGCACACCACCACTGGGCTCTGGAGCACTGGAAATGAGTTCTGTGGAGTAACGAATCACGCTTCTCTGTCTGGCAGTCTGATGGACGAGTCTGGATTTGGTGGATGCCAGGTGAAGACTACCTGCCTGACTGCACTGTGCCAACTAAGTTTGGTGGAGGAGGGATAATGGTATGGGGTTGTTTTTCAGGGGCTGGGTTAGGCCCCTTAGTTTGAGTGAAGGGAACTCTTAATGCTTCAGCATACCAAGACATTTTGGGCATTTCTACGCTTCCAACTTTGTGGGAATAGTTTGAGGAAGGTTGGGTGAGTTTGGTGTGGAAGAACTTGACTGGCCCATACAGAGCCCTGACCTCAACCCCACTGAACACATTCAGAATGAACTAGAACAGAGATTGTGAACCAGGCCTTCATGTCCGACATTGCATGACCTCACAAATGGTCTTCTGGACGAATGGGCAAAGATTCCCAAAGTCACGCTCCAGAATCTTGTGGAAGGCCTTCCCAGAAGAGTGGGAGGTGTTATAGCTGC